CAGAGGTAGGCATACTTTAACTATAGCCAGAAAACAGTGACGTGCGGTGAGGTCAATGGCTGGGGAGGCACTGGCTGTTATCAGAGCCAGATTTACACACTGAGGGGGGGCGTGTCCTCACTTAGGGGGGCGTGTCTGACACGTGTCTGGCACGCCCCCCCTCGGTTGAGGCAGATGTGATAGCTGCCTCCCCTGATGCTTTTTAATTGCCGTTTTATGACGAGACCAGCGAGCCTAAATATTTTTTATACACATACGTGAGATAAGTTACCTGGAGTATGGAAGGCGAGGACATGAAATGAAGGGGTCCACAAACATGACATTGGTGACATACTGAGATAGTAACAGGCACGCGCTTATTGCCCGCGCTCCATCCAGTTACTGAGGGGTTGCGCAATCAGAGGGGAGGCTGAGCTCGTCGCTGCCTCACCTCTCGTCTCTTCCTGTATTTCCAGTGGAGCTCCGCAAATTTGGCGATTTTGACTGAAAATGATTGGAATCGTACAGAATTGACATTTATAACACAGATCAGTGGCAAAATCTTAATATTTGTTTTTTTTGTAACAGCTATTTTCATTGGAGAATGACAGGTGAGGCTCTGCCTCCCCTGCCTCCCCTGACCGCACGTCCCTGCCAGAAAACATGCAAACGTTAGGCCAACGTTTGCATGTTTACTGGGTAATGTTCGTTTCTGATTTAACATCCAGCACCAAGGTTATGGTTCGTGTCCTTTATTTAACCATGTGATAGTCCACCGACATTCTCACAAACTTGCACGATTGTATTTGCTATATTTGTACAGGAACGTTTCCCTGCCTGTGCGTTTGTATGGTTTTTTTTAATTTTTTAAAACAACCTGGCCTCGAAGTGCACCTAGCCTGGCACAAACGCTACGGTGTAAGATCACTCAGCTGGGCCCAACGCTGACATGTCCGGTGGGTTGTTTATCAACCACTTAGCATACCAAATGGGTTGCAGGACAGGGTCAACTCTGACACGCAGGGAACTTCACAACGAAGTCTACGCCCACGGAGGAATTTCTCGGCAAGTATTTTCTGAGCCGAGCTGGTGCATTGTAGTCGCCTTGTAGGGGCCGTCCATAAATGACGTCACGCGATTTTGGACGATTTTTGACCCCCCCCCCTTGTCACACGGCGTCACAAAAAGTCAGACCCCCCCTCAAATATGACGTCACAAAGCTCTGCCCCCCCCCCCCCCCAAAACCATATTTCCATCTTGAAAATAAAACATGCTTCAAATCGCTTTAAACTATTGTCATTGTAGTGCGTATTTAATGTGGCGCTGCACTCTGATGTTGTAGGAGAACACATTTATTTAAAAGTCTACTTAATTAAGTAGAATGTGTTGTCTATATTTATTTAAAGTTGTGCATTTTGATGTGACGTCACATTTCTCACCCCCCCCCCCCCCCTCTTTTTCCGATTGAAAGCTTTCGTGACATTAAGAATATGAAAAGAATATGAACCCCTGCATAAAAATTATGTTTTATTATTTTATTATTTCCCTTCTACGTGATTTTACCGAAAGAACCAAGAATATGACCCCCACCCTCATCACACATCGTCACAAATATCTGACCCCACCCCCCCCCCCCTCTAGGTGCGTGACGTAATTTATGGACGGCCCCATATCTGCTGGCCACGGCCATAGCAAGAGGAATTAGTGGCCACGTTGTGTGCCGAGCGTGGAAAGGGTTACCGACCTCGGGCAGAACCGGTTGGAATTAAAGGTCCCCCCGCCCTCTCTCTCTCTCTCTACCTACCTGTGTGGACAGGTGTTGATGTACGTCATATTGAGGTAAATCAGTGGCCCACAATTGAAAAACTCAAATAAACTACGAGCGCACGTTTGTACGGAGCAATAATCAATTTCCTTCGTAAAACAATCTTGAGCGCAATCTAACCGACAACATTAATGCCAATATCTTAATTAGAAACTGGGCAGATATTCAATCATGGCCAATTAATGGTAAACAGTATACCTAATGAGGATTTATAGACTTTTACAAATTATTCTTCTTGTCCGTATCTTCAGTTGACATTAAAAAAAAACGCTTACATTTACACGGCTAAGTCGAGTTAGAATGTTTCGTTTCTTTTTTTTTACATATTGACTTTGAACCCCAGGAGCCATTTTCAAATATTTGCCGAAATTAGCAATAAAAAATACATCGGCTCGCTTTGGCAACTGCCTCATCGTAGGTGATAATCGCGGACACATTGGGGCACTTTCCCACCTAAAATCAGACGGGAAACTAACATTTCCCCCAACAAGTCAATCGGGCCACGCGCGTGTAGTTGAGGCGTAAAGGAATGTCCGCCACTTTTTAAAAACTGAAGACTACTTCCCGATTCGGAAAGGTTAAAAAAAAAGACCTGGGTCAAAAAAAATCTGCGGACGAATAAGACCAGATCGAAACACTGGCGGCCTACCGAAAATGCCAGTTTGTTTTTAAAATGCCGTCTCTTACAGGAGGTACTTGATGTTATCTCACACGTAAAATAGCATTGGACTTACACACGGCACACACGCACACACAATCACGTAACACAGCACTGAACGGTCACCATATATAAAACCCGAGCAAAGAGCGTTTCGCGAAAATCTGCACGGCAGTTGAAGAAGAGGTACTGTATCTTTCAGAGAGTTCTTCAAAATTATTGGTTGTGCATTTCACCTCTGTAACTATCAACAACAGCAAAAGCTCACCCGTGAATTTTACTGTAATTCAATCTTCTTTGACATTGTTTCTCACCATCTGCCCATATTCACGGCCTTTACCTGCGTTTAGTTGACAGCAAACACCTTTACCAAGTCGTGGCCAGCTTTCCAGATTTTTTTTCTCCCTACAATTTACAAGCAGTCACGCACGCACGCACGCACACAGAGAAAATGACAGAACACCGAATAGGTAACATCACCAGTTAAACAAAAAAAAAATAAACAGCTGCTCCTCATAGACCAAGATTCTTAATTCATCGTCGTCGATTTGCCATGTTTGGCACACGGACCAACCCTGCTCGTATACTGAGGTCCGCGATCGTCGAAGAGCACTCGGGCTAAATGCGGAAGCCGAAACATGTGGCCGACGTAATTCATCGTCACAACCTCCACCCGCAAACGGGGGGCCACGCGCGGGAACGCCGCGGCGGGGGGCCCCTCTGTTTCCGCGCGCGAGGGACGGAGCTGCACGGCGCATTTCTACAGCCACAGGGGCTCGAGCTGAACGTGCGCGCGCGTGTGCCGAGCGCTCGCGACAAAAAAAAAACACGGAATTGGCCACGCACTTTCCCAACAGCCGGGACGTTTGGGGTCTCGAGCCTAAACGAAGAGCGTGATTATTACCGCGCGAGAGTAACAGCCCCACGGTGAGGTCGGAATGGATTTTGAGGTCGAGATTGAACCCGTGAAATCTGTGATGACCACCGCATGACCACGTGATTGATGTATTTTTATCGCTTGGAATAAAACATCGTGGTCCAACGATCATGCACGTCCACCACCACCGCCGTCGTCATCCCGATTACGAGGGTAAAATTAAAGCAAAAATATCTAGATGTAACAGGTTCCACTGAAAATGTTTTTTTTTCCCTTCACAATGTAGCAAGTTCACAGCAGTGCAGTAACAGAGACATCACTTCTTCCAGGTTATTTCACTCAGGCAAGAAGCGTCTTCCTTGCATGTCGGTGACTGGACTCAGTTGATCTTCTCTCATGTGACCACAACAGATTTCATATGATAGGGCGCCACGGTGGCGAGATGTTGATTACATCGCTTGGTGTACAGGAGGTCGTGGGTTCGATCCCGACCGTGACGCCTGTATCTTCGGAGTTTGTATGTCTCTCTCTCTCTCTCTCACTGTGGTCGCGTGGATTTTTTCTCCTCGTCCTCCGGTTTTTCCCTTCACATTTAGAATCGTGTGTTTAGAGTATTTGGCTGCTTTCAATTTGCACCTGATAAGCCACTTCCTGGAGCTATCATTTTTTGCCAGGTCACTTCTGAAAAAGAGCTATCATTGGGCCTTACCGGGTTAAATAAAAACGTTCAGTTTAGATGTCAGAGAGCATTCGTAAGTTCTGTATGTTGAGAGGATGGCCTTATTAGGTGTAGGTCCGTAGGTTTTCGCGCCTTGTGCTGCAGAGCTCTACGCGACGTGACTTCGGGTTGCACCGCTACGCGCTGTTCGGCACCGCTGTCTCGACATTTCGCGGCGCGTGCCAGGGAAACCTGTTCGGCAAACTCGATTCGAACACCGCGCCAAACATCGCTCACAGTACAACCCGAAAACGCACCGGAGAGAACGCCGAACATCAGTTGCCTTCCTTCTGAGGCATCCAGCAGCACATGTCCGAGCCAGAGGGTTCGCGCCCTTCCAACAAGCAGATTGAGGAAAGTTCGAGAGGAGTCTTGCAACAATCGAGCAGGTAGCAAATTGTAATAGCTGTCCCCATCGAGCTGTTCGGGAGGAAAAACCCGTATGATTTTCGCGTGCGCGTGCATTCAGGACATTTAAACGACATCCGACAAAGTCCAATGTTGCTTTTGCCGTCGACAACGGCAAAACCAAAAAAGTCAAAAGCCACGCGCTCCAGGTGAACGGAGCTTAAAATAACAACGCGTGAAATCACGCGCCATCAATACCATTCGCGCGAACGTGCGGTTGTGCCGAAACTTGTTTTAAAACATCACCGAATATACATTTAGGGAAAGAATACTTCGGCAAAAAAAAAACGCTCATCGCCGGCCCTTTAAATAAACACGAGCACCTCCGTCACTCTTAAATTCCACCTCAACCAGCAGAACATCGCGCTTCCTACAAATAACTCGCGAAATTAAGATGCCGTTTAAAAAGTAATAACGCGAGGAAACGATTTCCCGTCGGCTTTTGTACGAAGAGAATGGCCGGAGAGTCATCCGAGCGGTCAATGCCACCCGCCCACCCGCCCACCCGCCCACCCGCCCGCCCGCCCGCCCGCCACCTCCGCCCCACGTCTGATCTTTTGTGCTCTTGACCAAAATCCAAATTGTTTCCGCCAGTTCCACAATCTGAAGCAACCATCGATCGTCGGTCCAGTTCAATGCTTCATCCCCCCCTCTCCCCCCCGCCCCCCCGTCTCCATCGCTTTGCTGCAATTCCCACGGGTAAAAAGGTTGAAATAAGCCATCAAGCGACCGCTTCCATTGAACGCAAAACGCGCGTCCCTGCGGTGAAGCCATTTCGTTCGTTCGTATATTTTTAAGTAAAAAAAAACCACCATTAACACCTTCGTTGCTTTCGACGTTGGGGTTTTGTTGTTGTTGTTGTTGCTGTTGTCACCATTTCACCACCGTTTTGTGGAAGACGTCCAAACGGCAACAGCAGAAATCTTTCTGTTTTTTTTTCCGAACCCCTCCCCCACTCCGCCCCTTTCTCCCCACCCGGTTGGTGGATTTCTGCACCAATATTTTTTTTTGTCAAAATAATACTTCCCTTCCCCCCCCCCCCAACCTTTCTTTTTCAGAAATCTGTTGGACGCCACAATAAATGTAAAAAAAAACTTGCTTTAATTAAAAAAAAAATGCTTTTCATCGATTTCAATCGAGTGTCGCGAATACTTTATAAGCGGCGGGCGGCGGCTCGAATCACGCACGTGTCACTGTTGTTTTGCTGCGTAGCGTTTAGCGGTGTGAGCCTCATCAAATGTATAAAATAATCAGATTATAAAATGATCAGATTGTAAAGTAATCGCGACCGCCAAAGGGACGGGAGGGCGAGCGGTAAAACTGCAAAGCTTCTGTAACATTCGATCCACCATCAGAAAACTCCAAACAAGAATAAAATTGACAAAAAAAAAATGCAAGGCCTTAAAAGTAGGCAACAGTTTCCATGGGCAACTTAGCAGGACGCTGGCTCGACCACGACCGAGTCGTCCGGAGTGGCCGGTCTCGGGGTGCCCGACTGAATTTTGACCACGCTCGCAGGCGACCCTCCTCCAGGGCCTGGCGAGATACTTGGGGACGGCGGTTCCGCAGACATAGCCTCGGGAATATGCTGCTGCTGTTGCTGTTGCTGCTGCTGGTGGTGATGCTGCTGCTGTTGGGACAGCTTCTTGTGCTGCGCCATGCCACACACGTGGTGGTGGCGCTCCCAGTCCTTGTGCTGGCAGAACGCGCCGCAGTAGCGCGCCGAGTTGCAGCCGCTGCAGGTCTCGCTCGCCTTGCGCCCGCAGTTCCAGCAGCTCTGCAGCAAAAACAAACGGCGGGCGAAGAAACGGGGGAAGAAAAAAATAATAATCACGTACACGCATGGGTTCTCTAATAATAATTATTGAAACTTGTAATGCGCACAACAGCATTCGCTCACTCTCGGAGAGAGAGAACGACACGGAGAGGCAAGGAGCCACAGACAAGCGAGAAGAAGGCAGACCGACGCGTGAGCTGGTGCCACCAATTGCCCAAGCTCTACGGTACCATACATACAGAGACGTTTTCGGCCAATTCACGAGTGTTGACATGCGGGAGGAAATCGGAGCAAGACATTCTCACGAAGAGATGAGTGAATGGATGAATAAGTGAACGAGCAAATGAATGCATTCGTTAACGGATCAACAAGGGATTTCATTCGTGAATGAATGAACGCGTGAACAAACAAGCCAACGAAATATCGACTTGGTGAATGAGCGAATTGAAACGTGAAATAACGAGAATGAACGACTCGGCAAGTGAATGAATGAATTAAGAGGGGCAGAGGGGATACTCGCAGGGAGCTGTAGCCCAGGGGATAAGGAACAAGGTGGCTTAGTTCAGCACACGAGGAAGCGGGCAAGCGGGTGAGCACGAGAGGGAGCGGGCCAGTGGGTGAGTGGGTGGGCGAGCGAACGGGTGAGCAAGCGGCCTGGTGGACGAGCGATCATCCGGGCGAGCGAACGGACGAGCGAGCGAGCGGGCAAGCCGGCTAGCGGGCGAGCGAGCGAGCGCCGCACCTCCGTCGAGTCGTCCTGTTGCAGGACGATCATGGCGGCGTCCTCAAGCGCCTGCCTCTTGGCGTCGGCGAGCACCCGTTCCATCTTGGCTCGCTCCGTCACGATCAGCTCGTGCGCCTTGCGCTCCGAGTCCGCCATGGCTCTCTGCAGCTCCGTCACCGCCTGGCGCTTCACCTCATTCACAGCCTCCTCTTCACGCGATGACGACGACGACGATGGTGATAATGTTGACGACGATGAGAGGCGGACAGACGGGCGAGGAACAAACAGAAAGAGCAGTCAAGGTTTGAGTTCTGTTTGCCTCCAGGCAGCTAAAAACCATCAAAGTGATTTCCTGGCTCAAATGAGCATTGAGGCAAAAGCCAGTGGTGAAAATTCCACATCTCCATGGCGGGGCGTGAGTCTATCCGTAAGACCACCCCCCCTGTGGACTTCCCCACCAATTTGGTACACTACTCACTTTATCGACCCCGAAGGAACGATGGGCCGAGTCATCCCTCAACCTGGATCATGAAATTTGCTCGCGAGCCGCCGGCTGTCCCGCTGCGCCGGTCTGCCAAGCTGGGGGGGGGGGGGGGGGGGGGGGGTGTCAATAGATCCCCCGCCCCACCGCCTTCGACTGAACTGCAGTGTCCAAAGATCCCCCGTGTAGCCTTAACAGTATGTTGGGGCAAGTGCTGTTAGAGTGCAGCACCTATGAAGGCCGACACGGTACACACGAGGGGGGTGGGTGGCCAACACCACGCCCGGCCGCCTTTGTCTCCCCAGTGGCGATGTTTACTACACACCACACCAGGTACTCATTTGAGGCTGAGTCGAGGCCAGGACCGGTTCAGATAATCGTCACTGGTGTTTGGCCGTGAGCGGGAATCGAACCCAGATCGCCGGGTTCGTAGCACACCACCGCTCCCCACAACTGCATTGTACAGTACATACACACACACAGAAACATCTACATAATAAGATACACTCCACCACATCCCCCCCCACCCCCCTCACTACTCCCCCTCCCTCCCCACAACCTCACCGAATCCCCTGCTGACCCATTGTGGGGGGGGGGGGGGGGGGGGGGGGGGGGCGGTTGCCCTGTAGCTGAGTAATCCCTCGGCCAATTGATAAACTCCTGAGTGAGATGACCGAGAGGAGTGGTGTACGACCACAGAAGAGACACAGAGAGAAAGGAAGAGCGAGCCGTGTGAAGACGTGATGGGAGAAGCGGGGGTACTAAACAGATGAGAGCAGGCAATGTCCCTTTCACAAATCCGTCACGCCGCGTTAAAATATATATATATTTTAAAAAGCGTTCATTGCAGAATCAGAATATTTATACTGGAGGAATCCGATGAGCCATTGAAGCTCTTTTTCACGCGTGTCCAGTGTTTCACAGATGTCCAGTTCCGAACAACAACCCATCGGCCCCGCGGCCTTCAGGTGACCGCGTCATTTCAGGGCCACCGATTCGGTACGAGCAACACTCTGGACCGGCTTGAACGCGTCTCGTGAGCAGCGTCCGGCTTGCTTGCAGCATCGATGCAGGTGAATTGCCAGGGGTTACGGGCAAGAGGCCCCCTCCCCCCACCCCTCTCTCTCAGATGTGGGTCCTTGAGATACAGAGAGACACAGACGGCGCAGGAATGGTCGTGGAAAGCGAGACGTGTCGACAAGAGCGGGAGGTGTGGTGAGCCGAAAGATGCAGATGACCTACTCCGCCATGGAGACCCGTCGCATGCACACTCCCCTGCACAAAGACAAACATTGACAAAGATCCTACTCTGCCATGTTAGTCAGTTTAACACAGCGGGTTACGTGATAACCGTTTGAAATGAGTGGGGTTAATCAAGCGACTCGCTCTCATTGGCCGCACGCATACATGCTAATGATTGGCTGCCATTGTCAGTCGTACACTAATAACCCCGATTTTACGTCTCCCCCTTTGACGTCGTTTCGCAAGTTCGTCGTCGTTTTATTCACAACGCCGCCGCTGCCTTGACCTGGATCGCCTCAAACCCCACACGCTCACGACGCTGATGGCAGCATTGTCGTCTGTTCCTCCCTCGCTCTCCGTCACCTCTCAGCCTTCGCCGCCGCCACCACCACCACCGCCACGACCACTACCACCACTACTACCACTACTACCACCACTACCACTACTACCACCACCACCACTACTACCACTACTACCATATACTACCACCACCACCGCCACTACCACCACTACTACTACCACCACCACCACTACCACCACCCACCCACTACTACTACCACCACCACCACCACCCACCCACTACTACTACCACCACTACTACCACCACCACCACTACCACCACTACTACCACCACCACCACTACCACCACCACCACTACTACCACCACTACTACCACCACCACCCACCACTACTACCACCACCACCACCCACCACTACTACTACCACCACCCACCACTACTACCACCACCCACCACTACTACCACCACCCACCCACCCACCACCCACCACCACCCACTACTACTACTACTACCACCACCACTACTACCACCACCCACCATTACTACCACCACCCACCCACCACTACTACCACCACCACCCACCCACTACCACCACCACCACTACTACCACCACCACCACTACCACCACCACTACTACCACCACCACCCACCCACTACTACTACCACCACCACCACCACCCACCACTACTACCACCACCACCACCCACCACTACTACCACCACCACCCACCCACTACTGCTACTACTACCCCTGTAAAATCGCTTCGATCCATTGACGTCGTTTCGATGTTCGCCGTCGCACCTTTCAGGAACGCACCGCCCAGCCCTACCGCACACGACGTGAGCCGGGGTATTTTACCGTACACGTGAGCCGGGGTATTTTGCCGTACTTCGGTGGCGTCTTCACGACAATGGTGGCCGAGTTTAACACGTTTCCCACAGGGCAGAATCAGAATCGTCTCGTTTTTATTTATTTGGACCGCAGGAGAAATCCGATGAGCTATGAAGCTCCTTTTTTCACAGATGCCCAGCAGGGGCGGGGGGTGGGGTGGGGTCAGTCGTCCACTCTCCGCTCTGGCGCGAAGTGGACGATTGCTCGGTCCGTCGCTCCCACCCGGGCCCGTTTCCTCCTCCGCATTGTCTGCCCTCTCTCGCGTGTGTTTACGTTACGGGCGAATTATAAGCGTAAGCTGTTGTTGTTGACAGATGCGTGCCCCCGCCCGTGCCTCCCCCCCCCCTTCCCCCCAGACACTTCCCCCCCCGCCACCACCCCACTATCCCCCCCCCCCTCTCCACTAACAATCCAACCCAAATGCAATCCCATTACGCGCGCGCAGACTCAATTAAAGACACGTGGGCGCAAACGACTTTAAATCAATTGCGCTGAAATTACAGCGCCCGCATCAGATGGCGCGGACATCTGGGGCGGTGGGGGGAGGTTTGCTTTCGGTTTTTTTTTCTCTTTTCTGGGCGGTCGGAGAGATTGAAAAAAAAAATTCGTTCTGAGTTTCGTTTGCCATTTCTTTTTTTTTTTACACGTCCGCAGTTAAAAGATGGCAGAGATTTCCACCGTCGCCGTCGCCCTTCAACGGAGGAGACGTTTGTGAAAAGAAAATAACAGACAATTTTTTTTTTATTCATTGTCTAAAATTCTGGAAATGTAGAACACATGCCGACCGAAATTATTCTAACGTTGAAATTATTTGCTCACTGTACTGAGTAGACATCATCATCATCATCGTCGTTCACCTTGACCTACCCCAGTAAGCGTGCAACGTTGGTCCAACGTTAGCTGAACGTTGCCCCAATTATCGGATATCCAAGCTGTCGCACCATCCCTCGCGGTCTTGTGTGATGCAACCATCCATCTCCAGCGCCTGCACGGCGGTCGATTTAGTCGCCCGCATCTTCCTCGTTGGGCGTCCACCCGACGTCCACACGACGTCCACACGGCGTCGTGAGCGAGAGAGCGTGGGCGCGCTCTCTCGCTCTCCGCTCCGCGCGTTTCCCGCACCTCCGATGAGCACGGTTGGCTACGTACGGTGCGAAAGAAGTCCAACGCGCGTACACGCTGTGCGTACGCTCCTCTCCCTGCCTCTCTCAGCGTGAGCCCAAGCGTTCGTGCAACTTTATGAAACCAGGGAAAGCTCCTTGGCCAGATGGTGGCGAATCTACTAAATTAATTTGTATGGGGGAAGGGGGGGGGGCATATTTAGGGGAGGGAGGGAGGGGCATCCATATCCAACTACTGGGGGGGGGGGGGGTGGGTCTGGCAGATGGAAGGAAGCAATGGCGGTATGTCATGGTGTGAACATCACCACCATCATCCGTGATCTCCTCTTCAACTCCGAACTTAACCCTTTCCCATTCCGATGACGTCCGTGTACGTCACCGGAACGTAATCTTAAGAAAAAATAAAATAACGTTACCGGTACCGAGGCTCCCACAAGGCCATGCGGGGGGAGAGCGTGTGGCACAGTTTGCCGCCAGCTATCGTGGAGTGCGGTCGCGTCGCTACGCTTCTCTGCGGCGAGTGCAGTACAACGTCATTAAAAACAGCGGCACGACTACGCCTCCATGAACAAAGTTAACGCCGAAGCGCTCGCACGCTCCGGGATTCCGCAGTGACCGGGACGCCCACACCCGGCGACTTGCAGACGTCTCGGAGCGGGAAGAGGTCAAGGGGTCAAGGGGTTCAGATTCTCTGCAGCCACTCACAGGAGCTGCCACCGAATGGGGGACAAACAAGAGGATGGCAGGGGACTGCGGGGGGCTCTGTCGCGGGGGGCTCTGTCACGGGGGGCTCTATCGCGGGGGTCCCTATCGTGGGGGGCTCTGTCGTGGGGGGCCCTATCGTGGGGAGCTCTATCGCGGGGGGCCCTGTCGTGGGGGGCTCTGTCGTGGGGGGCCCTGTCGCGGGGGGCTCTGTCGTGGGGAGCTCTATCGTGGGGGGCCCTGTCGTGGGGGGCTCTGTCGTGGGGGGCCCTATCGTGGGGGGCCCTGTCGTGGGGGGGCCCTTTCGTGGGGAGCTCTATCGTGGGGGGCCCTATCGTGGGGAACTCTATCGCGGGGGGCTCTATCATTCATTCTAAGGGGGTGGGGGCACGCTCCCCCCTCATAGAAATCACAAGGGGGGGGATGGGGGGGATGGGGGGGGGGTGAGGGGGGGTCTCGCTCACCGGCTTTCCTCCAGATCTCGTCCGGAACGAACGCGGGAGACGACCGGGGGGTCCCGAGGTCGCGGCCCGCGTCTGCGATGGCGATGCGCGGGGGTGGGGAGGGGTGGAGGTGGGAGGGGGGTGGGGAGGGGTGGAGGTGGGAGGGGGTGGGGAGGGGTGGAGGTGACAGGGGGTGGGGAGGGGTGGGAGGGGGTGGGGAGGGGTGGAGGTGGGAGGGGGTGGGGAGGGGGTGGAGGTGGGAGGGGGTGGGGAGGGGTGGAGGTGGGAGGGGGTGGGGTGGAGGTGGGAGGGGGGGGTGGAGGTGAGAGGGGGTGGGGAGGGGTGGAGGTGGGAGGGGGTGGGGAGGGGTGGAGGTGGGAGGGGTGGGGAGGGGTGGAGGTGGGAGGGGGGTGGGGAGGGGGTGGAGGTGGGAGGGGGGTGGGGAGGGGTGGAGGTGGGAGGGGTGGGGAGGGGTGGAGGTGAAAGCGGGTGGGGAGGGGTGGAGGTGGGAGGGGGGGGAAGCGGGTGGGGAGGGGTGGAGGTGGGAGGGGGTGGGGAGGGGTGGAGGTGGGGGGGGGCAGAGTCGACCAACGAACGAATTCACGGCGTGAGTTCGTTGTTGGGCCGATAAAACCACGTGACGGAGTTAAACGGAAAGTGTCAAACTTATTGGTGAACGAGCGAGCAAATGAACGCGCGGGCGAATTGCTTCAGTGAATGAACGAACACGCGAACGAACGGGCCCTCGGTGTTATCGAATCAGCGAGTGGATTTTTGTTGAAAAGTGTAAAACGATGCCGATGCAAACTGAAAACTGAATAATACGGGATAAGGTCGGGGTCAAATCGAGTGATAGCATCGTGAGCATCACATTTGCTCTTCTTGTGACAGGTGCTCTATCCCCAAATTGGCTCAAGCCTCCCGTAAACCACGTGGTTTCTGTGTGGCCACTCCCACTCTGAACCCCCCTCCCCTTCTCCCCACCGCCGCCCCCTGTGAAAACAGCGAGTGAGCTCCTCCGTGCAGCTCACTCGCTGCTCGCTCCTTCCTTCTCTCTTCTCCCGCTCCTCTTTCCCCTCTCATCGTCGATCATCATCACCACCACCCTCTCATCATCATCATCACCACGCTCTCATCATCATCATCATCACCACCCTCTCATCATCATCATCATCACCACCATCTCATCATCATCATCACCACCACCCTCTCATCATCATAATCATCACCACCACGCTCTCATCATCATCACCACCCTCTCATCATCATCACCATCACCACCCTATCATCATCATCACCACCACCCTCTCATCATCATCATCATCACCACCACGCTCTCATCATCATCATCACCACGCTATCATCACTACCACCACCCTCTCATCATAATCATCATTATCACCACCACCCTCTCATCATCATCACCATCACCACCCTCTCATCATCATCACCACCCTCTCATCATCATCACCACCCTCTCATCATCATCACCACCACCCTCTCATCATCATCATCATCATCACCACGCTCTCATCATCATCATCATCACCCTCTCATCATCATCACCATCACCACCCTCTCATCATCATCACCACCATCTCATCATCATCATCATCACCACCCTCTCATCATCATCACCATCACCACCCTCTCATCATCATCATCACCACCCTCTCATCATCATCACCACCACCACCCTCTCATCATCATCACCACCACCACCCTCTCACCATCGTCACCACCACCCTATCACCATCGTCACCACCACCCTATCACCATCGTCACCACCACCACCACCCTATCACCATCGTCACCACCACTCTGTCATCATTCCCGACATCTTGGCCCAGTCATTCCTCCTCCGTCTCCCCTTCCTGCTCCTTTCTCTCTCTCATCGCTACTCACCACGAGCCCTGTCTTAGGGAACCTCCATCCTGGCCTCTTCCCCCCCCCGCTCCCCTTGCCCCCCCCCCCCCCTGTGTCTGCTGCCCTCTTGCATCAACGCTCTCTACTCCCCTTTCCCACGGCGTGGAGCCCCGGGTACAAAGTTCGTTCGAAAAACAAATAATAATTACATATATTATTTGTTCTTCATCACCATCATCATGACAATTATTCGCGACACTCAAAGGCGGTCATCGCGAAGGGAGCCGCTGTGTTTCACCACACACACACACGCACCACACACACACACCACACACACACACACCACACACACACGCACCACACACACACACCACACACACACACCACACACACACGCACCACACACACACGCACCACACACACCACACACACCACACACACACGCACCACACACACACACCACACACACACACCACACACACACGCACCACACACACACGCACCACACACACCACACACACACGCACCACACACACACACCACACACACACACCACACACACACGCACCACACACACACACCACACACACCACACACACACGCACCACACACACACACCACACACACACACCACACACACACACACGCACCACACACACACACACCACACACACACACACGCACCACACACACACGCACGACACACCACACACACACGCACCACACACACACACACCACACACACGCACCACACACACACGGACCACACACACACACGCACCACACACACACGCACCACACACACCACACACACACACGCACCGCACACACACGCACCACACACACACACACGCACCACACACACACCACACACACCACACACACGCACCACACACACACACCACACACACACACACCACACACACACGCACCACACACACACACCACACACACACACACGCACCACACACGCACCACACACACACACACCACACACACACACACGCACCACACACACACACCACACACACACCACACACACCACACACACACACACCACACACACCACACACACACACACCACACACACACGCACCACACACACACACGCACCACACACACCACACACACCACACACACACACCACACACACCACACACACACACACCACACACACCACACACACACACACCACACACACCACACACACACACACGCACCACACACGCACCACACACACACACACCACACACACACACACGCACCACACACACACACCACACACACACACCACACACACCACACACACACACACCACACACACCACACACACACACACCACACACACACGCACCACACACACACACGCACCACACACACCACACACACCACACACACACACCACACACACCACACACACACACACACCACACACACCACACACACACACACCACACACACCACACACACACACACCACACACACACGCACCACACGCACGCACCGCACACGACGGTCCGCTGTGGCTTTCACGGGAGGGGCTCGAATTTTCCATCTGGGGTTGTTCCCAACCGAGCGCATCTCGCGGTGTTAAGATTTGCACATCCGGTGGACTTGGGTGCCGTGACTCCGGCCGACACGTTGGCCGCCCTCTTACGTTTGCAATGAGACGGCGGCACCGCGCGGCGTCGCAGTTTGACGCACCGCGCGGTCGTAACCGGGATGGCCGCGGGGGCAGGAACAGCGAAACCTCGCAGCGCGACAGTTTCTCAGGATCCCCGGGGAACCGACACCGACCGCCGCCCTCTGTTATGGAACCCAAGGCTCGATTCTCCATGGCGACGTTTGCGGCAAACTCGCTTGCAGTGTGTGGTTTTTGGTCGCGTTCGATCGGTGTTGTTTGTTCCGTGGAGCGGAGGCGCAGCGGTTAGCGCACTGCGCTGTAAGCCCAACCACTCGGGTTCGATTCTCAGCCATGGCTAACCACAGCGAGTGAGCGAGTGAATAGAACGATGAGCAGGCGAGCGAGTGAGTGAGTGAATAGAATGGTGAACAGGCGAGCGAGTGAGTGAGTGAATAGAACTGTGAGCAGACGAGTGAGTGAATAGAACCGTGAACAGGCGAGTGAGTGAGTGAATAGAACCGTGAGCAGGCGAGTGAGTGAATAGAACCGTGAGCAGGCGAGTGAGTGAGTGAATAGAACCATGAGCAGGCGAGTGAGTGAATAGAACCGTGAGCAGGCGAGTGAGTGAGTGAATAGAACCGTGAGCAGGCGAGTGAGTGAGTGAATAGAACGGTGAGCAGGTGAGTGAGTGAATAGAACGGTGAGAAGGTGAGTGAGTGAATAGAACGGTGAGCAGGCGAGTGAGCGAGTGAGTGAATGGGCACTGAGTGACCGAGTGAATGGGCGAGCGAGCGAGCGAGCACTGATATGAGTAAGGGAATGGACGAGCACGTTGAGGGAGCAAATGGATGAGCAAGACGATGAGTGAATGAGTGAGTGAGCGAGCGAGCAATGGTATGCGCGAGTCAGGGAATGGACGAGCGCGTTGAGGTGAGCGAATGGATGAGCGAGACGGTGAGTGAATGGGCGAGCGATCAAGCAATCCGGCGAGCGAGCGAGTGAGCGAGTGAGCGAGCGGGCGGGCGAGCGGGCGGGCGGCTCACCCTTGCGGAGTTCCTCGCTGTCCCCGTACCGCCGGGCCCAGTGCGCCAGCTCCTCGCGGTCCGACTCCTGGCAGCGGCGCATGACGGTAAGCGCTCGCCGCGTCTTCTCCACCATGTCCAGCAGGCAGTTCAGCAGCTGCGGCACACGCGCAGACAGAGACGGAGATCCCCCGTGTGGCCTCAACAGACTGTCGGGGCAAGTGCTGTCAGCGAGAGCAGCACCTACGAAGGCCCGACACTTCGCGCTCTGGGGGGGGGGGGGCGGTGGTTGACCATCGCCATGCCCGGCCGCCTTTGTCTCTCTTTGCACACCGCCTCAGGTACTCATTTAAGGCCGAGTCGACCTAGGGCAGGGTCAGGACTGGTTCAGATAATCGTTGCCGATGTTGACGACGTGTGAGCGTGTAAACAAAGACAAAGATCCCCCGTATAGCCTTAACAGACTGTTTGCGCAAGTGCTGTTAGCGAGCACCTATGAAGGCAGACACGGCACACGAGGGGGTGGGTGGCCAGCACCACGCCCGGCCGACTTTGTCTCCTGAGTGGCGATGTTTACACACCGCACCAGGACACACACACACACGTGCACAAACAGAGATAAATAACCCAGTGTAGCCTCTATCAGGCTGTTGGGGCAAGTGTCGTTAGCGAGCACCTGTGACAACTGAACGATTGCCGTGAGAAGGCCCATCCATAAAACCACAGCCTGTAGCGATTGCAGCGGTGGTACCAGTGGTGGAAGCGAAGGTTGAGATTGTTAGTGTGGTGACGGTGGCGACAGAGGCTGTAATTGTGGTACTGGTGGTGGTTAAGAGCATGGTGGTTGTGATTGTGATTATGGTGGTGATTGTGGCAGTGGATAGCAGTGGTGCTGGTGATAAGGGTTGTAATTAAACTATAAACTATTTTATTTTACCAGGTAAGTCCCATCGAGCTATATATCTCTTTTTTGGGAGCGACCTGGCCAAAAGTGATAGCCCGATGAAGTGGCTTATCACGTGGAAATTTATAGCAGACAAATACTCTAAACGCGTGATGTTGATTCTAAATGCGGTGGGGCTAAACTGGAGGACCCGGAGAAAAATTCACGCGACCACGGGAGAGAGAGAGACATGCAAACTTTAAATATACAGCAGCAGGCGTCAGGGTCGGGATTGAACCCATGACTTCCTGTATACCAGGCGAGGTAGTCAACATCTCGCCACCGTGGTGGTGCTGGTGCTGATGGTAGACGTGGTGGTGCTCGTGACAAGGGTTGTAATTGTGCTGGTGGTGCTGGTGATGAAGGTTGTAATTGTGGTGCTGGTGACGAAGGTTGTAATTGTGGTGCTGGTGACGAAGGTTGTAATTGTGGTGGTGGTGACCACAGTGAAGAGAGGCTCTCACATTGTCCAGGTGTTTCCACTCCTCGGACCACTCGCGATCCGTCAGCCGGTGGTCGACCACGTCCTGGGGCCTAGCTCCGTGGAGACCTGGGTCACACGGGGTTCACGCGGGGGTCACACGGGGTCATACGGGGGTCACACGGGGGTCACACGGGGTTCACGGTGCTGCCCTTCACAGGAGGGAGGAGATGGTGGTCGTATTGGTGATGATGATGCTATTGGTAGTGATGATGATGTTGGTCATGATGGTAATCAGAATCAGAAGTTTATTTAAGAACCTCTTTTTCAAGGGCGACTTGGCTGGCAGACAATCACGATGATGATGATGATGGAAATGATAACATTGTGCCGATGCTGCTGTTACTGCTACTACTCCTGCCGCTACTCCCGTTACTGCAACTGCCACGACCATGAACGTTGCTGCTGCTGCTGCCACGCCGCTGGTGCTACCGGTGTCTCCTCCTCCTTACCCATCAGCGCTCTCCGTCTCTCCGAGCCGCTTTCCCTCCCGTCGGCGCCTTGGTGATGCCGCGCGCCGTAGCCCTCCCTTGTCGCATCGTCCGCCGCGTACCGCAGGCCCACCGTCGCCGGCGACCCCGGCACGCCCGGCGAGGTCACGTGATGCTGCTGCTGCTGATGCTGCTGCTGATGATGATGAAGTTGTTGTTGTTGCAGATGCTGCTGCGGATGATGATGATGATGCTGTTGCTGCTGGTGGTGGTGGTGGCTCGGAGCTGCAACCCCATTGGTGGTCGTTGAGATGTGTCCCGGGTGAAGGAGATTACCGCCGCCGATGCCACCGCCGCCCGGCGTCTCTAACCCACCGGTCGGCGTACGGCCGCCGGCGGGGAGGCCGTTGGCTCCGGGGCTGAATCGGTGAAGTATGGGGCTGAGCACGCGGGCACGCTTCGCCGCCACCGCCGCCACCGCCGCGTCGGGAGGAGAAGCGACGATCCCCTCCAGAGCCGCCCCCTTCATCCTGCAGGGCCATGGGGAGGGCGGCGGTGAGGGCGGCGGCGACGGCCCCGGCGGTCGGGCGTTCGCCGTCCCGTCGCGGAGGTTTTTCGCGGTCTGAACCCCGCGGCCGGCCCCGGTTGTTACCGCCGCGCGTAACTGGGCCGGGTACGCTCTGCGCCGTCGGCTTCACGACGGGCGTCGGATGGTCACGTGACGTCATTTCGATAAAGGGCGGGCGGCACGTACGGGATTGCGCGCGCGCGCGCGTCTCCCGCGCGTCGCTCGGTTACATTTTTTGGGGGACGCTCGCAAATGACCGTTTTGGGGAACTGGATCACCGCATGGGCAACATCGGCCCCACCCCCCACTACCGGCAGCCCGAACGCCGACATGCTGACCTGTGCTGCAGTCACCTTGTGCCGCACAGGGGCAGCTGCCACCAGGGGGGGGGGCGGGGGGGGGGCTACTGCAAGGGAGGCGCGGTATAAATATTCCGTGACGATGACGGGTGATGATGATGATTTATCGCGGATAATCGGTTGCGCAATTGGTGGGCCCTGTTATCTGCCATCTGAAGATGAATGCAGTAGAAAAGGGTGAATTTGCTGTCGCTCCTCTTATCCGCAAGAATACGCGGATAACAGGGTGATATCGTAACGAGAATAGTGTAAATGTACAGCCCTTCGTCAAATCCACTGCTGGATGTGTGCGTGCGGTGTGCGTGCGTGTGCATGCGTGTAAGTCCGCATTTGTGTGTGTGCGTCAGTGTGCGGTCGCAATGTGTACGCATGCATGCGAGCGCGTCTATGCATGATTGTACCCATACTGCGCAGGTGTGTGTGTGTCTGTGTGTGCATGTCGATGATAAAGACAACAAATCTTTGCTTGGAGCACACGCACGTGTGAGCGTGTAAACAAAGACAAAGATCCCACCGTGTAGCCTGTAACAGACTGTAGGGGCAAGTGCTGTTAGCGAGCAGCACCTACGAAGGCCGGCACGGCACACGAGGGGGTGGGTGGCCAACACCACGCCCGACCGCCTTTGTCTCCCTAGTGGCGATGTTTACACACCGCACCAGGTACTCATTTGAAGCTGAGCCAACCTAGGGGAGGCCCAGGACCGGTTCAGATAATCGCCACTGGGTGTTGGCCGTGAGCTGAAATCGAACTCGGGTCGCCAGGTTCGTAGCGCAGCGCGCTAACCGCTGCACCACCGCTCCCCACATACACACGTGCACAAACACACACATGCACACTCATCGCGACAATAGCTGCTGTTAGCGTGTGGAAGCGAGCGAGTGTCACACGCATCTCCACGAAGTGTCGCATATTTTACGCCCCTGCATTTCTCATTACGATTCCAATACCCGCTCACCCGCAGCCGCACAGACACTCACACGTTCGATCACTCACACACTCACACACAGTTGATCACAGACAACGCATCCACACAAGACATGTTTCATCACGAGACAAAGATCCCGCGTAGAGCCTTAGCAGACTTTCGGAGCAAGTGCTGTCAGCGAGTAGCACGTCTGAAGGCCGGCACCGGCACACGAGGGGGTGGGTGACCAGCACAACGCCCGGCCGCCTTTGTCTCCCCAGTGTCGATGTTTACACACTGCATCAGGTACTCATTTGAGGCTGCGCTGACTTAGGGGAGGCCCAGAACCGGTTCAGATAATCGTCACTGCCGGTGTTGGTGACCATGAGCGGGAATTGAACTCGGGTCGCCAGTTTCCTGGTGCAGCAAAAAAAAAGATTCCCCGTATAGTCTGTAAAAGACTGTCGGGGCAAGTGCTGTTAGCGAGCACCTTTGAAGGCCGGCACGGCACACGAGGGGGTGGGTGGGCCAGCACCAAGTCCAGCAGCCTTTGTCTCCCCAGTGGCGATGTTTACTACACACTGCACCAGGGACTCATTTGAGGCTCAGTTGACCTAGGGGAGGCCCAGGACCGGCTCGAATAATCGTCACTGGCGTTGGCCGTTACGGGGAATCGAACTCGGGTCGGCGGGTTGGTAGCGCCGCGCGCTAACCGCGACACCACCGCAGCGCACAGAACACACACGCTGGACGACGCGCAGACAGACGCACGGACACGCCGCTCCTACTTGTCCATCGCGCGCCGCTTCCCGTTCTGGTTGACCTCCCCGACCGCGACGTCGGTGGCCTCGGCGCCGACCGGCGAGTGGCTCTCCCCGCCGCCGCCGCCGCCGCCGCCGTGCGGGATCCCCTCCAGCAGCAGCCGCTCGTGCTGCGCCAGGTACTGCGAGGGGCTTTGCTTGGCCAGGCGAGCGCAGAGCATCAGCTCCCGCTGCAGCAGCGGCAGGTTGGCCTGCGCGGGCGGCACACACACACACAACCGAGCAAGCGTGACGGACGCCATGCCGGGAGAAGGCGCAGTTGGTGATGCATCGCTTGCCGAGAATCCGCCGCCGCCGCCGCTGCTGACGGGACACCGTGTGCCGGAGATGGTCCGTGGCAGGGAGAGGGTGGTGGGGGTTCGTGGCCGAGATAGCGAATACCAATGCCGGAGTAGGTCATCTGCGTCTCACGTCTCACCACACCTCCCTCCCTTGTCTACACCTCTCGCTTTCCACGACTATTTCTGTGCCTGTATCTCTCTGCCCGTAACCCCAGGCAGTTCACCTGCATCGATGCTGCAAGCAAGCCTGACGCTGCTCACGAGACGCCGCGTGTTCAAACCGGTCCAGAGTGTTCTCCGTTCTGAATCAACGCTGCTAAAATTATGCACTTCGCTGGAGAGGGCCTTTTGTGTTGTTTTTATCCGGAGAGACGGCTACGCGAAGGAGATGTATTGTCCGCCAATATTATTTGTTACTAGTGGGAAGTACCCGGCGTTGCCCGGGCAAAAAAAGACAGACACACACATCGACCCACACACACAAACACATCGACTCACACACATACGGTGAGGGAAAAAAGTATTTGATCCCCTGCTGATTTTGTACTTTGCCCACTGACAAAGAAATGATCAGTCTATAATTTTGATGGTAGGTTTATTTGAACAGTGAGAGACAGAATAACAACAACAAAAATCCAGAAAAACGCATGTCAACAATGTTATAAATTGATTTGCATTTTAATGAGGGAAATAAGTATTTGACCCCTCTGCAAAACATGACTTAGTACTTGGTGGCAAAACCCTTGTTGGCAATCACAGAGGTCAGACGTTTCTTGTAGTTGGCCACCAGGTTTGCACACATCTCAGGAGGGATTTTGTCCCACTCCTCTTTGCAGATCTTCTCCAAGTAATTAAGGTTTCGAGGCTGACGTTTGGCAAATCGAACCTTCAGCTCCCTCCACAGATTTTTTATGGGATTAAGGTCTGGAGACTGGCTAGGCCACTCCAGGACCTTAATGTACTTCTTCTTGAGCCACTCCTTTGTTGCCTTGGCAGTGTGTTTTGGGTCATTGTCATGCTGGAATACCCATCCACGACCCATTTTCAATGCCCTGGCTGAGGGAAGGAGGTTCTCACCCAAGATTTGAGGCTACATGGCCCTGTCCATCGTCCCTTTGATGCGGTGAAGTTGTCCTGTCCCCTTAGCAGAAAAACACCCCCAAAGCATAATGTTTCCACCTCCATGTTTGACGGTGGGGATGGTGTTCTTGGGGTCATAGGCAGCATTCCTCCTCCAAACACGGCGAGTTGAGTTGATGCCAAAGAGCTCCATTTTGGTCTCATCTGACCACAACACTTTCACCCAGTTGTCCTCTGAATCATTCAGATGTTCATTGGCAAACTTCAGACGGGCATGTATATGTGCTTTCTTGAGCAGGGGGACCTTGCGGGCGCTGCAGGATTTCAGCCCTTCACGGCGTAGTGTGTTACCAATTGTTTTCTTGGTGACGATGGTCCCAGCTGCCTTGAGATTATTGACAAGATCCTCCCGTGTAGTTCCGGGCTGATTCCTCACCGTTCTCATGATCATTGCAACTCCACGAGGTGAGATCTTGCATGGAGCCCCAGGCCGAGGGAGATTGACAGTTCTTTTGTGTTTCTTCCATTTGCGAATAATCGCACCAATTGTCACCTTCTCACCAAGCTGCTTGGCAATGGTCTTGTAGCCCATTTCCAGCCTTGTGTAGGTCTACAATCTTGTCCCTGACATCCTTGGAGAGCTCTTTGGTCTTGGCCATGATGGAGAGTTTGGAATCTGATTGATTGATTGATTGCTTCTGTGGACAGGTGTCTTTTATACAGGTAACAAGCTGAGATTAGGAGCACTCCCTTTAAAAGTGTGCCCCTAATCTCAGCTCGTTATCTGTATAAAAGACACGTGGGAGCCAGAAATCTTTCTGATTGAGAGGGGGTCAAATACTTATTTCCCTCATTAAAATGCAAATCAATTTATAACATTATTGACGTGCGTTTTTTTGGATTTTCTTGTTGTTATTCTGTCTCTCACTGTTCAAATAAACCTACCATTAAAATGAAAGACTGATCATTTCTTCGTCAGTGGGCAAACGTACAAAATCAGCAGGGGATCAAATGCTTTTTTCCCCTCACTGTATCTGCTGTAATCAAACCTGTTGCTTAAAAAGATAGCGGCGAGCGAAGGTGAAAAATGTTAATAAACTGAACATCTAACTGGCCTCGCCTAGATTGCCCAGCCGGTCGAGGTGGTACCTTGGCGGGCTTATGGCGTGGTGCCTGGCTACTTTTTTAAAACATAAACCCCACAGTTCGCGAGCCATATCCTTCACAAGTTTCGGCCGCACACACACAGACAGACAAAGAATGACGTTTTGATTTAAAGCTTTCGTGACTGCAGGGATTCATATTCTTGGTTATTTCGGTAAAGTCACGTAGAAGGTGTGTTGGAGAGCCAAGCCACAACATTTACAATCTGAGTTTAATACTGTACTCGGAAAGCTGAAAACGGATAAGAGTTTGCAGGCTCAAGTAAATACGAATGAAAAATGTAAACATTTGTTTGGTTATTATGAATGTAATTGCTTTTTAACATAGATGGACTCGTCCATCTGAACAAACTGTCAAATCGCTCTCCGTGGTGCTAACGTTAAAAATAACCGCCACTTTTTTCAAATTTTCTTGTTGTGGTTTTCACACCTGATGATGATTGCTTGTGTTGCAGTCGAAACGTCGTGAGAATTTTATTGTTTTTATATTTTTATTATTTTATTGTTTCCCTTCTACGTGACTTTACCGAAAGAACCAAGCATATAAAAGAATGACGTTTATAGGTAATACGTTATATTCTCCACGACGCCTCTAACGAGTGCATTAAGAAATATCCGAACAGGTCCTCAGTCATCCCCTCGGTCGTCTCAGCCTCAAATGAGCACGTGGTCCAGTGTGTAGTAAGCATCGCCACTGGAGAGACAAAGGTGGCCCCGGGCATGTTGCAGGTCACCCACCCCATCTCGTGTGCCGTTCCGGCCTTTGTAGGTGCTGCCACTCGCTAACGGCACTTGCCCCAACAGTCTGTTCAGGCTACGCGGCGGGGGAGGGGGGGGGGCACCTTTGTCTTTGCACCGTCATCAGCATGCCCACTCCTCTTTAAATCAAAATATGAAACATTAAAACCAATTCCATTCGAAAAGTCGGCGCGCGTAACGTTGTCCAGCCCTCCTGAAGAATGGGACGCCGCTGCCGTCGCCCGCGGAGTAACAGGGTGAGAGGTGGCCGCCGCTATCTCCCGGAGCGGCAGTTCAAACGGTGAGCCCGCTGTGTCTAATCCGGGACCATCAACCGGGCCCGCCGTGGGGTACAGTGTGCGTAGCTCCCACCTCTTACAAAAGATGTGCGGCCAGCGTGGAAGAGTAGACCAAAATACCCTCCCCCCCGAACCCCCCCCCTCCCCCGCCACTGATGGGTTCTCTAGAGCTCCCTGCGGTGGTCGGCCCTTCCGCCGGCAGTGAGCCAGGCGAGCAATTGCAGGGCTGCGCCTTTACCCTGCAGCCATTCTTTAAAAAAACACACAACGATCAATTTCAGGAGCAGAAACATTCGGACGGTACAGGGGACATCCGAGCCGACACCACCTTTCCTGTTTAGTGAACCCTCGCGTACCCCCACGTACCGCCGCGTACCCCCACATACCCCCACGTACCCCCGCGTACCCCCACGTACCCCTGCGTACCCCCGCGTACTGCCGCGTACCCCCACGTACCCCCACGTACCTCCGCGTACCCCCGCATACCGCCGCGTACCCCCGCGTACCCTCACGTACCCCCACGTACCCCCGCGTACCCCCGCGTACCCCCGCGAACCCCCACGTACCCCCACGTACCCCCACGTACCCCCACGTACCCCCACGTACCCCCACGTACCGCCGCGTACCCCCGCGTAACCCTCATCCCCTTTGCCCCAATCCTCCACAATCCTTCGTGCGCACCCCCCCCCCCACTCCATTCCACCCGACACCCCCACTCACCCCCCCCCCCCCCGCCCACAACCCCAAATCCCATCTCCCCGCGCTCGCTCTCCCGCGTCTCCCCTCCGATGCGGCCGCCGCTCAACGCCGGTCGGGAGCGGGGCACCGGCGGAGAGAGCCGTGCGGCGGAATGGGAAGCAGATGGCGGCGGCGGCGGCGGCAGAGGCGGTGGCCGCCCGGGCCCTCGCTCCGCCGCCGTTTTTCGTCGTCGTCATTCAAACCAGATGACGGCCATCCGCAGCGGACGACAGACATCGCCGTTTCTCCTCTACCCCTACCCCCGCCGTCTCTTCTTGATGGAGGATTGGGACAAGTGCCACTCCCCCCCCCCAGCCACCCCCCCCCCCCCCCCCGCCCCCCCCCAGACCGATCGATTCCAGAGAGACGCAAATCTCAAATCAGGCCACGCAACGTCAAAAATCTTCTCGATCTGTCAAACTCCCGCTGGCGCGTGGCGTTGCCCCGACGCTACCCACCGTCGCGACCCGGAGTCATCCTACCCACCCCCCCCTCCACCCACCCCATCGTTTCCGCGGCGTACTTGGCCATCCCAAAGTCGGCGGCCAATTTCCGACCATAACTCTTTAATGGCGCCGTTTGCCACTGGCCGCCTGGCGTGGCTCAGCAAACCGTAAATTGAAAGGTGAAAGTTATTCCGGCACATGTCCCAAATTTATCCCAGACGATTTCCCTTCGTCAGGCTGCGGCCCGGAATTCCACGTCAGAACTCTTGGCCCGAGCAGACGAAGATACGGTTTCGCGGGAAAGACCTCCGTTGTCCATCATCAACCTCGAATTCTGGGAGCGGAGCCACCCAGAGGTTCCTGGAGGGAGGTGTGGAGGACAATACCCCGAGGGCTCACCCCCACGCCCCCCCCCCTCCCCCGTTATTCGATAGCAACAAAAAACACAGCCTCTGTTTGTGAGGGTTTCTCTTTCTGTGTGAAGCCCTAAGGGGGAGATTGCACCTTTTACCACCCCCCTCCCCCCCACTCGATGCTCGTTTGAGCCAGGAAATAACTTCAGGACTTTTTTTGTTTTAATCTTGAAGAGTTTCCCAAGTAATGCGCCGCGCGTGTCATTCTGTGTACTCATTGGTGACCGGGCTGAGGCCATAGACTCGCTGAGAACTCGGCTTAACCACATCTCATTGGAGGCGAGTCTGTGGATCTCTGTGGGGAGTTTGTGGATCCCTATGAGATTCTATGAGTCTCTGTGTATGTCTGTGGGTCTCTGTGTAAGTCATTGGTGACCGGTCAAGGACCATCAACCCGCTACTCTTGAGAACCCGAGGATGGGCTGCGCCGTTTCTCCCTCCCTCCGTCTCTCGCGCGTGGCATTTGGGCACCGCAGTGGAGAGATGTTGACTACCTCGCCTGGTATACAGGTGGTCGTGGGTTCGACCCCGACCCTGACGCCTGTTGCTGTGTATTTTGAGTTTGTATGTCACTCTTCTGGTGGTGGCGTGGATTTTTCTCCGGGTTCTTTGGTTTTTCCCATCGCGCATTTAGAATCGACGCCACCCTTTTGGGAGTACTCGGCTGCTCTAAATTTCCACGCGACGGCTGAAACAACGGATTCTCGCCCAGGGTCCTCAGCGGTGCCGCCGCAGCGTCTCTGTGAGCCACCCGGCCTCCTCTCGAGTAAAAAGGTTTCCTTAAATAACTGAACTCAAATAACCGGTCTTGTGTGGCTCACCACTCTCATATTACTCCTACCTGCCCCCCCACCCCCCCTCACCCCCCTCACCCACCCCCCCCAACGTCTGGCTTTTGCGATGGAATGCGTCGCTGTGCGAGCACCGTCCTAAAAGCGATTCGATTGGCCTAAAGTAAATAATAAAAACACGTGGATCAAAATGTAATCGGTAGGCGATATGTTTTCCTCCACAAGTCCATGCCTCCACGTGAGTAATTCGAGGTTGTTGTTGTCGGGACTTTTTTTTTAACAAACATCACATCAGTTGCACGCCTGTCATGGGGGAGTGCGTGATTTCAGTAGCATGAGGTTGAGCACAAGCCAAAGTCTGGTCAGCAGGGAACTCAATCATTGCTGGTGTACTGGCCAGGACCCGCTTGGTTAGTATGTACGTTGAACTTCTTTTGCACCGTACGTAGTCAACCGTGCTAATCGGAGGTGTGGGGGAAGGACAACAAATGAACACGCAAAAAGTAGTTCCTAAAGAAATTCGTTTTCAATCTATTTGATTTAAAAGTGCCTAGCTCCAGTGGCTTGCCGATATCGGAAGGAAGAGCGTTCCAGACGGCCGCAGAAGCGCATCTGAAAGCGCCGCGCGATGATGCGGTGACCACCGCCTTTGTTCAGTAGCCAAAAGCCGCTGCTGCGAGGATGAGCAGAGTTCGCGTGTTGGCCGATATACTCCTTGTGCGTAGTGAGCATCACCTCATGTTATTGTGTCCGTTAGACACGGGTTCTAGTTCAGCGCGAAACTCTGTGAAACACAACACAAAGGCGGTCATCGGCGTCATGGAGGAGATGAGAAACGCGCGAACCTGGATACCGACATAGCTGTTGCCCACTCTCCCGGTGAGGTCGTGCCCTGATTTAGGCAGATCACTCAGCCTTCTCCACATCGGTACTGCCTTCAACCCAACGCACGCCGACCGGCATGGCGAAATATGGAGAGAGCAGACTAAAAAACTATCCCACTGTCAACACGGTAAGGTCGTGGCAGACAGGAGAGGGTACGCAAAGACGTTAGGGGTGGCGAGCTGGGAATATCAGCGGCAGCGAGTCGCCCCCATCTCTACCTCTTCCCCACCCCTTCCCCCCAGCCAGCAGCCCCCGCCTCCCTAAATCCTGCGTAATGAAGTTACAAGCCGGGCAGTGCGGTGGCGGCAGCGGTGGCGGCGGCCTCGGCGAAAAAGAAACAAAAACCAGATGTCAAATTATTTCGCCAAACGAGCGGCCACGAGGAGACGGGGACCTTTTTAACGATTTTCCGTGCGAGCGTCGGTCCATCACGAATGGGGCAGCACATCGTGACGTCGTCATCGTCGTCATCATCGGCCACGATCTATCCACTGCTGGATGAAGGCCTCCCACCCCCCCCCCCCCCCCCCAAGCCGTCGCCGCCTCTAACGACGGTCGCGCGCACGCGGATCGCCACGTCGCCGATGATTTGTCCACCGTATTTCTTTGTTTGTTAAACGGTGAACACGGTGCGGCCGCCGGTGTCGTAAACCACGAGGCTCTGCGACGAGCGGCGAACGCCGCCGCGACGAACGAACAAAAAAACGGAAGAAAAAAACCGGAGAGAGTTGAAAGTTTTGGCGCAGAAAAGAAAACAACTAAACGGCAAAATAGCAAAAAAATGCGGAAAAATGGGGGACTACTCACTTTGAGGAACGGAATCACGAACGGTCTGAGCGGAAAGTTCGTCGCCTCCTGCAGCTTCGAGTGGAAGTCTTCGATGGATATCGTGGAGTTCTGCCAAACGCACAGAAACGAGAGCCAAGTTCAAATGAAGAAGAAGTTAAACGAACAATTGCGAGACAGGACGATGATGAGCGAGCGCACACGTGGGGGCTGACGGTGCCGACGTTGAAAGAGTTAAGAAAAGTAAGAAGTGGTGGGGGGGTGGGCGGTGGGGTTGGACCAGGGGACGCGCTGCGGCCGGACGAGACGACGGTCAGGTTTGCGATAAAACAATTACGACTACAACGATGACAACGGTGGAAAAAGATCAAAAGGGTCAATGATGACGATGGGCGACGATGACCAGCGTCATCAGAATGAGAGGCCAGCCGTGATGAAGGCGGGCGCCAGCGGGGGACGTGGGGACGAGCCAAGAGGCGCCGCTGACGGCAGCGGCCGCCGCTGCCGACGCTGCCGCTGACGGGGCGAAGCTCCGCTAGGCCCGGCGGGGAGTGGCAGCCGCCACGGGGATGGAGAGCGTCCGAGGGGGGACGCTCACGGGGAGCAAACGGAGTGACGAAATCGGCTCCTGGGCCGCAAGAGGCGGTGATCGGAGTTACCCAGAATCAGAGTGACTTAAGACTTAGACCGGAGGAATCCGATGAGGTACGAAGCTCTTCATCACGGCGTTGGAGAGACGTGGACCGGCGGTGGCTGAACCGACACCTCAAATTAAATTTTTTTTAAAGGCACCACTTGTTATTTTGACCCCTGGTTTAGATTATTTGGCTGCTAGAAATGTCCACATGATAAGCCACTTTGCTGAGCTATAATTTGTGGTCAGATAAAAATAATACGTTTTTTAAATTTGTAAATATGTTTTAAAAGTTATTTGTTTACCTTCCCTGTACTTTGCACGCCTATCGTGAATTTTGTTTTGTTTATTTTGTGACCCCGTGCCTCTACTGGAGAAAAAGAGCTTTACATCTCATCGGATTCCTCCGGTATATATTTTGATTCTGACACCGAGCGGAGCACGGAGGATCGTTCCGCACGAGCTCTCACTCTCTCACTCTCTCACTCTCTCACTCTATCCCACTCTCTCTCACTCTCTCTCAGTCTCCCACTCTCTCTCTCTCTCTCACTCACTCACTCTCACTCACTCTCTTTCTCACTCTCTTTCACTCTATCCCACTCTTTCACTCTCTCGCTCGCCTCCGAAGCCCTCCCGTCATGCCGAGGCGGCAGACCTCCGCATTGGCATCTGGTTCCTGAACCAACAATGCCACCGCCGCCACCGCCGCCACCGCCGCCACCGCCGCCACCGCCGCCACCGCCGCCACCGCCGCCACCGCCGCCACCGCCGCCACCGCCGCCACCGCCACCACCGCCGCCACCGCCGTCGCGCGCAGGGATCGAGCGAGGCGGTGCGCGTCTCTCGCCATGCGCCGAGCGGACCACCCCCCCCCCACCCCCCCACCCCCCCACCGGGTGAAGGTCTGGAAAGCCTCGCGGGCCGCTACGAGGAAGCAAACGGCGAGTTAATCGCCCGCTCAGCAGCCGCGACGGGCCCCCCCCCCGGAGGAGTGGGACAGCGGTCCCTCGGGGAGGCCGGCGGCCGCGGCAAGCGCCAAACCGGCACGGGTGCGCCGACACGCATCTCGCATGCGCCTGGGCCCGTTATACGCCGCGTTCCGGCATCAGGGAAACAAAAAGCCACGGCAACGCTTTCATTCCGCGTCCGTGTCTCCCTCTCTATGTGTGTCTGCGTGTCTCTGTCGGTGTCTGTCTGTCTCTGTGTGCAGTGCGGTGGTGCAGCGTCGAGCGCTACGAACACGGCGTCCGTAGTTCCATTCCCGCTCACGGCCAACACCGGTGACGATTTATCTGAACCGGTCCTGGGGTTCCCCTGGGTCGACTCAGCCTCAAATTAGTACCTGGTACGATGTGTAACAGCGGCACTGGGGAGACAAAGGCGGCCAGGCGCAAGTTGCTGGCCACCCACCCCCTCGTGTGCCGTGCCGGCCTGCAAAGCTGCGCGCTGACAGCACTTGCCCCAACAGTCTGTTAAGGCTACACGGGGGATCTTTGTCTGTGCATGTCTCTATACGTATCGCTGTGTGTCTGTGTACTTGTATCTATTTGTCAATCTCCCTGTGAATTCTAGATGTGAAGCTTTCGTGACTGCAAGGATCCAAACTCTTTGGTTCTATTCGGTAAGTCACGTAGGTGACTTTACCGAATAGAACCAAAGAGTATAATCTCCCTGCGACTTTGTGTTTCTCATTGTGGATCTGGGTCTGTCCGTCTCTCTGTAGCTATTTGTGTTGCTGGTGACTTTGTGTATTTGTGTTGCTGGTGACTTTGTGTATGTCATATCGGAATCGCCTCCAGTGTTGTTGCTGCTGGCGGCAATAAAAGTTGTTTAAAACGTCAAAAGTCTCTGTATCTATCTGTTTGTCCGTCTCTATGTCTCGCTGTATGTCTGTGACTCTCTGTGTCTCTATGCGTTTGTCTGTCTCTTTGTGTCTGTGTCTCACTGAACTTTATAAGTTTCATACTGTATTGTCCGGACTATGGCGCTGCTTTTCCCCCTGTGGGTTAAAGCAAAAGTTCATTCGTGTGATTTGCAATCCAGTAGGAGAGTGTGTGTGTGTGTAACAAGATTTTTGCAACTTGATTGACACGTGGATTTTAATCAAGGTGGCTGGCTGTGGTTCAACCGGGTTCTCAAAGTCGACGATTCTGTGAAATTAATGGAGATTCTGATTCCGAACGAACCTGCCTGCACAAAAATAACCATCGCCTTGAATGCATTCCCGCATTTAAATTTGGGCTAAATTCCAGCTCTCTGAGAATTGCAAAAACATCGGTGTCGCTGTCGCACGCGACGAACATTCGTGTCGTGCGACAGGGGGGTGAGAAAGTGCCGTCATCTCCGGTGTGTGGAGACGAGAGAAGGAGGAGAAGGGGGAAGGAGGGAGGAGGAGGAAGAAGAAAAAGAAGGAAGAAGAAGAAAGGATGTCCGAGGAGCTCTGTCATCTCCGCGGTAGCTCTGCGATATGCACTTCTGCGGGCCGTCCTCCTCCGCTAAGGGAAGGGACTGGGGGGGGGGGGGTCGTGCTCCCCAGTGAGCTGCGTCGATGGAATCGTCGGCTCGTGGCGACGCGACCGGGATAATGCCACGGTGGGGTGGGGGGTGGGGTGGGGAAATAGCAGCAATAACAAAATAAGACGACGATGACGACGATGACGACGATGACGACGACAACCGATAACTTTCTTATCGCCGCCGCGTTTCGCGCAGCATCGTCACGGCGCTGCGGTATCGTCACGGCGCGCTGCAGCAGCAGCAGCAGCTGCAGCAGTAGCTGCAGCAGCAGCTGCAGCAGCAGCTGCAGCAGCTGCAGCAGCAGCAGGAGCTGCAGCTGCAGCAGGAGCTGCAGCAGCAGCTGCAGCTGCAGCAGCAGCAGCTGCAGCTGCATCTGCAGCAGCAGCAGGAGCAGGAGCTGCAGCATCAGCAGCAGCTGCAGCAACGACCTTCAACCGACCCCCGCTCATCCTCCTCGCGCTCCTCCTCCCAATTAGCGGCACGCGGCCCTTCCAACGTGCTCGCGCGCAAGGGCCCACAACGCTGTCTATCGCCACGGGGGGGTGGTATTATAGTGGGGGGGGGGGGGGGGGGACGGGTAGTGGCACGTGGTTTGGTGGGTGGTGAGCTGTGGTGTGATGTGGTGTGATGTAGTGTGAGTGATGGGTGGGATAGTGTGCAGGCGACGTGGTGAGCAGTGGCTGCGTGGCTGGTGACGTGGCAGGCAGTGAGACGGTGGCCAGCAGCGTTGGGGTTGCAAGCGGTTGCAAGCGGTTGCGGCGCCACGGTGAGCGGTGGTTGGGGGTGGCGAGGGAAGCCGTTACCACGAGCGCCAGGACGAGCGCTCGCACGCGCTCCCCGATCTCGGCCGAGATGTCCGAGCCGAACTGCTGCAGCGTCGTCAGGAAGCGCTTCAGCTTGCTCAGCTGACGCGCGCCGCACGCCGCCGGCAGCTGCGGAGGCGCCGGCAGCAGCAGCGGCGCCGGCGGCGGCGCCGGCGCCGGCGGCGGGTGGAGCGGCGGCGACGACGGGAAGGAAGAGGTGGACAACGAGGAGGAGGAGGAGGAGGAGGACGAGGAGGAGGAGGAGAGCGACGACGCGGAGGAGAGGCCTGCCGTGATGAAGGCGGGCGCCAGCGGGGACGTGGGGACGAGCGAGGAGGCGCTGCTGGTGGCCGCCGCTGAAGGCGAAGCTCCGTTAGGGCCGGACGGGGAGTGTCGTGATCCGTTCAAGAGCAGGCCTGTTGAACGATGGCAGTCGTCATTGTCGTCATCATCCGCGTCGTCGTCATCGTCATTGTGATGATCATCGTCATCATCCGCGTCGTCATCGCCGTCATTGTGATGATCATCATCGTCATTCATCATCGTCGTCGTCATTTTGATGATGATGATTATGATGGTCATCATCATTGCCATCATCATCATTGCCATCATCATCGGCGTCATCACTGTGGTCATCATTGTTGTCGTGACTTGATCAAGATGATTTTATGATTTTATCATTGCTACGTCTCAATAAAGGCTGTCCGGTCTACTCCTCCCCCCACGATGGCCACACACCTCGTGAGAGTTGGGAGGACCCAACATTGTACCCGACCGCACTCGACCTGCCAATCGATTCGCCCATTTATGCCCGCTGGGTGGACAGAGGCCGGGGAGCCATTTCAGAAACTTGCAGCGTCGTTTCAACCGCAGCGCCGGGGGGATCGGATTGAACCGGTGACCCCCGGATTGCGGTGCTGACCGTTACACTACAGCAGCCATCCCCTTAACACCACCAATGTCATCAGCACGATCATCACCATCAGCATCATCACCATATCATTAGCATCATCATTAGCATTGCCATGTTATCACCATCATCAGCAACACTATATCACCATATCATCATCAGCATGACCACATCATCAGCATCACCATACCATCATCAGCGTCACCATATCATCAGCATGACCATATCATCATCGGCATGACCATATCATCAGCATCACCATATCATCATCAGCATCACAATATCATCATCAGCATCACCATATCATCATCAGCATCACCATATCATCATCAGCATCACCATATCGTCACCAGCATCACAATATCATCATCAGCATCACAATATCATCTTCAGCATTACCATATCATCATCAGCATCACCATATCATCATCAGCATCACAATATCATCATCATCAGCATCACAATATCATCATCAGCATCACCATATCATCATCAGCATCACAATATCATCATCATCAGCATCACAATATCATCATCATCAGCATCACAATATCATCATCAGCATCACAATATCATCATCATCAGCATCACAATATCATCATCGTCAGCATCACAATATCATCATCATCAGCATCACAATATCATCATCATCAGCATCACAATATCATCATCAGCACCGCCATCATCAGCATCACCATATCATCATCAGCATCACAATATCATCATCATCAGCATCACAATATCAGCATCACAATATCATCATCATCAGCATCACAATATCATCATCATCAGCATCACCATATCATCATCATCAGCATCACCATATCATCATCATCAGCATCACAATATCATCATCATCAGCATCACAATATCATCATCATCAGCATCACAATATCATCATCATCAGCATCACAATATCATCATCATCAGCATCACAATATCATCCATCATCAGCATCACAATATCATCATCATCAGCATCACAATATCATCATCATCAGCATCACATATCATCATCATCAGCATCACCATATCATCATCATCAGCATCACAATATCATCATCATCAGCATCACAATATCATCATCATCAGCATCACAATATCATCATCATCAGCATCACAATATCATCATCATCAGCATCACAATATCATCATCATCAGCATCACAATATCATCATCATCAGCATCACAATATCATCATCAGCATCACAATATCATCATCATCAGCATCACAATATCATCATCATCAGCATCACAATATCATCATCAGCATCACAATATCATCATCATCAGCATCACAATATCATCATCAGCATCACAATATCATCATCATCACAATATCATCAGCATCACCATATCATCATCAGCATCACAATATCATCATCAGCATCACAATATCATCATCAGCATCACAATATTATCATCATCAGCATCACAATATCATCATCATCAGCATCACAATATCATCATCATCATCAGCATCACAATATCATCATCATCAGCATCACAATATCATCATCAGCATCACAATATCAGCATCACAATATCATCATCATCAGCATCACAATATCATCATCATCAGCATCACCATATCATCATCATCAGCATCACCATATCATCATCATCAGCATCACAATATCATCATCAGCATCACAATATCATCATCATCAGCATCACAATATCATCATCATCAGCATCACAATATCATCATCATCAGCATCACAATATCATCATCATCAGCATCACAATATCATCATCATCAGCATCACAATATCATCATCAGCATCACAATATCATCATCAGCACCGCCATCATCAGCATCACCATATCATCATCAGCATCACAATATCATCATCATCAGCATCACAATATCAGCATCACAATATCATCATCATCAGCATCACAATATCATCATCAGCACCGCCATCATCAGCATCACCATATCATCATCAGCATCACCATATCATCATCAGCATCACCATATCATCATCATCAGCATCACCATATCATCATCATCAGCATCACAATATCATCATCAGCATCACAATATCATCATCATCAGCATCACAATATCATCATCATCAGCATCACAATATCATCATCATCAGCATCACAATATCATCATCATCAGCATCACAATATCATCATCATCAGCATCACAATATCATCATCATCAGCATCACCATATCATCATCAGCATCACCATATCATCATCATCAGCATCACAATATCATCATCATCAGCATCACAATATCATCATCATCAGCATCACAATATCATCATCATCAGCATCACAATATCATCATCATCAGCATCACAATATCATCATCAGCATCACAATATCATCATCAGCACCGCCATCATCAGCATCACCATATCATCATCAGCATCACAATATCATCATCATCAGCATCACAATATCAGCATCACAATATCATCATCATCAGCATCACAATATCATCATCAGCACCGCCATCATCAGCATCACCATATCATCATCAGCATCACCATATCATCATCATCAGCATCACCATATCATCATCATCAGCATCACCATATCATCATCATCATCAGCATCACAATATCATCATCATCAGCATCACAATATCATCATCATCAGCATCACAATATCATCATCATCAGCATCACAATATCATCATCATCAGCATCACAATATCATCATCATCAGCATCACAATATCATCATCATCAGCATCACAATATCATCATCATCAGCATCACCATATCATCAGCATCACCATATCATCATCATCAGCATCACAATATCATCATCATCAGCATCACAATATCATCATCAGCATCACAATATCATCATCATCAGCATCACAATATCATCATCATCAGCATCACAATATCATCATCATCAGCATCACAATATCATCATCATCAGCATCACAATATCATCATCAGCACCGCCATCATCAGCATCACCATATCATCATCAGCATCACAATATCATCATCATCAGCATCACAATATCAGCATCACAATATCATCATCAGCATCACAATATCATCATCATCAGCATCACCATATCATCATCATCAGCATCACCATATCATCATCATCAGCATCACAATATCATCATCATCAGCATCACATTATCATCATCATCAGCATCACAATATCATCATCATCAGCATCACAATATCATCATCATCAGCATCACAATATCATCATCATCAGCATCACAATATCATCATCATCATCAGCATCACAATATCATCATCATCAGCATCACAATATCATCATCAGCATCACCATATCATCATCATCAGCATCACCATATCATCATCAGCATCACAATATCATCATCATCAGCATCACAATATCATCATCATCAGCATCACAATATCATCATCATCAGCATCACAATATCATCATCATCAGCATCACAATATCATCATTCATCCGCATCACAATATCCATCATCATCAGCATCCACATATCATCATCAGCATCACAATACTCATCATCATCAGCATCACAATATCATCATCATCAGCATCACAATATCATCATCAGCATCACAATATCATCTCATCAGCATCACAATATCATCATCGCATCAACAATATCATCTCAGCATACATATCATCAGGCATCACCATATCATCATCAGCATCACAATATCATCATCAGCATCACAACTCATCATCATCAGCATCCACAATATTATCATCATCAGCATCACAATATCATCATCATCAGCATCCACAATATCATCATCATCATCAGCATCACAATATCATCATCATCAGCATCACAATATCATCATCAGCATCACAATATCAGCATCACAATATCATCATCATCAGCATCACAATATCATCATCATCAGCATCACCATATCATCATCATCAGCATCACCATATCATCATCATCAGCATCACAATATCATCATCATCAGCATCACAATATCATCATCATCAGCATCACAATATCATCATCATCAGCATCACAATATCATCATCATCAGCATCACAATATCATCATCATCAGCATCACAATATCATCAGCATCACAATATCATCATCAGCATCACAATATCATCATCAGCACCGCCATCATCAGCATCACCATATCATCATCAGCATCACAATATCATCATCATCAGCATCACAATATCAGCATCACAATATCATCATCATCAGCATCACAATATCATCATCAGCACCGCCATCATCAGCATCACCATATCATCATCAGCATCACCATATCATCATCATCAGCATCACCATATCATCATCATCAGCATCACCATATCATCATCATCAGCATCACAATATCATCATCATCAGCATCACATATCATCATCATCAGCATCACAATATCATCATCATCAGCATCACAATATCATCATCATCAGCATCACAATATCATCATCATCAGCATCACAATATCATCATCATCAGCATCACCATATCATCATCATCAGCATCACCATATCATCATCATCAGCATCACAATATCATCATCATCAGCATCACCATATCATCATCATCAGCATCACAATATCATCATCATCAGCATCACAATATCATCATCAGCATCACAATATCATCATCATCAGCATCACAATATCATCATCATCAGCATCACAATATCATCATCATCAGCATCACAATATCAGCATCAGCATCACAATATCATCATCAGCACCGCCATCATCAGCATCACCATATCATCATCAGCATCACAATATCATCATCATCAGCATCACAATATCAGCATCACAATATCATCATCATCAGCATCACAATATCATCATCAGCACCGCCATCATCAGCATCACCATATCATCATCAGCATCACCATATCATCATCATCAGCATCACCATATCATCATCATCAGCATCACCATATCATCATCATCAGCATCACAATATCATCATCATCAGCATCACCATATCATCATCATCAGCATCACAATATCATCATCATCAGCATCACAATATCATCATCATCAGCATCACAATATCATCATCAGCAACAATCATCAATATCATCATCATCAGCATCACCATATCATCATACATCAGGCATCACCATATCATCATCATCAGCATCACAATATCATCATCATCAGCATCACCATATCATCATCATCAGCATCACAATATCATCATCATCAGCATCACAATATCATCATCATCAGCATCACAATATCATCATCATCAGCATCACCATATCATCATCAGCATCACCATATCATCATCATCAGCATCACCATATCATCATCATCAGCATCACCATATCATCATCATCATCAGCATCACAATATCATCATCATCAGCATCACCATATCATCATCATCAGCATCACAATATCATCATCATCAGCATCACAATATCATCATCAGCACCGCCATCATCAGCATCACCATATCATCATCAGCATCACAATATCATCATCATCAGCATCACAATATCAGCATCACAATATCATCATCATCAGCATCACAATATCATCATCATCAGCATCACCATATCATCATCATCAGCATCACCATATCATCATCATCAGCATCACAATATCATCATCATCAGCATCACAATATCATCATCAGCATCACAATATCATCATCATCAGCATCACAATATCATCATCATCAGCATCACAATATCATCATCATCAGCATCACAATATCATCATCATCATCAGCATCACAATATCATCATCATCAGCATCACAATATCATCATCATCAGCATCACAATATCATCATCATCAGCATCACCATATCATCATCAGCATCACAATATCATCATCATCAGCATCACAATATCATCATCATCAGCATCACAATATCATCATCATCAGCATCACAATATCATCATCATCAGCATCACAATATCATCATCATCAGCATCACAATATCATCATCATCAGCATCACAATATCATCAGCATCACAATATCATCATCATCAGCATCACAATATCATCATCATCATCAGCATCACAATATCATCATCAGCATCACAATATCATCATCATCAGCATCACAATATCATCATCAGCATCACAATATCATCATCATCAGCATCACAATATCATCAGCATCACCATATCATCATCAGCATCACAATATCATCATCAGCATCACAATATCATCATCATCAGCATCACCATATTATCATCATCAGCATCACAATATCATCATCATCAGCATCACAATATCATCATCATCATCAGCATCACAATATCATCATCATCAGCATCACAATATCATCATCAGCATCACAATATCAGCATCACAATATCATCATCATCAGCATCACAATATCATCATCATCAGCATCACCATATCATCATCATCAGCATCACCATATCATCATCATCAGCATCACAATATCATCATCATCAGCATCACAATATCATCATCATCAGCATCACAATATCATCATCATCAGCATCACAATATCATCATCATCAGCATCACAATATCATCATCATCAGCATCACAATATCATCATCATCAGCATCACAATATCATCATCAGCATCACAATATCATCATCATCAGCATCACCATATCATCATCAGCATCACAATATCATCATCATCAGCATCACAATATCAGCATCACAATATCATCATCATCACCATCACAATATCATCATCAGCACCGCCATCATCAGCATCACCATATCATCATCAGCATCACCATATCATCATCATCAGCATCACCATATCATCATCATCAGCATCACCATATCATCATCATCAGCATCACAATATCATCATCAGCATCACCATATCATCATCATCAGCATCACAATATCATCATCATCAGCATCACAATATCATCATCATCAGCATCACAATATCATCATCATCAGCATCACAATATCATCATCATCAGCATCACCATATCATCATCAGCATCACCATATCATCATCATCAGCATCACAATATCATCATCATCAGCATCACCATATCATCATCATCAGCATCACAATATCATCATCATCAGCATCACAATATCATCATCATCAGCATCACAATATCATCATCATCAGCATCACAATATCACCATCATCAGCATCACAATATCATCATCATCAGCATCACAATATCAGCATCAGCATCACAATATCATCATCAGCACCGCCATCATCAGCATCACCATATCATTATCAGCATCACAATATCATCATCATCAGCATCACAATATCAGCATCACAATATCATCATCATCAGCATCACAATATCATCATCAGCACCGCCATCATCAGCATCACCATATCATCATCAGCATCACCATATCATCATCATCAGCATCACCATATCATCATCATCAGCATCACCATATCATCATCATCAGCATCACAATATCATCATCATCAGCATCACCATATCATCATCATCAGCATCACAATATCATCATCATCAGCATCACAATATCATCATCATCAGCATCACAATATCATCATCATCAGCATCACAATATCATCATCATCAGCATCACCATATCATCATCATCAGCATCACCATATCATCATCATCAGCATCACAATATCATCATCATCAGCATCACCATATCATCATCATCAGCATCACAATATCATCATCATCAGCATCACAATATCATCATCATCAGCATCACAATATCATCATCAGCACCGCCATCATCAGCATCACCATATCATCATCAGCATCACCATATCATCATCATCAGCATCACCATATCATCATCATCAGCATCACCATATCATCATCATCAGCATCACAATATCATCATCATCAGCATCACCATATCATCATCATCAGCATCACAATATCATCATCATCAGCATCACAATATCATCATCATCAGCATCACAATATCATCATCATCAGCATCACAATATCATCATCATCAGCATCACCATATCATCATCATCAGCATCACCATATCATCATCATCAGCATCACAATATCATCATCATCAGCATCACCATATCATCATCATCAGCATCACAATATCATCATCATCAGCATCAACAATATCATCATCATCAGCATCACAATATCATCATCATCAGCATCACAATATCATATCATCAGCATCACCATATCATCATCATCAGCATCACCATATCATCATCATCAGCATCACAATATCATCATCATCAGCATCACCATATCATCATCATCAGCATCACAATATCATCATCATCAGCATAACAATATCATCATCATCAGCATCACCATATCATCATCATCAGCATCACAATATCATCATCATCAGCATCACCATATCATCATCATCAGCATCACCATATCATCATCATCAGCATCACAATATCATCATCATCAGCATCACAATATCATCATCATCAGCATCACAATATCATCATCATCAGCATCACAATATCATCATCATCAGCATCACAATATCATCATCATCAGCATCACCATATCATCATCATCAGCACCTGGGGGAGGCAGGAAGGCCGCGGAGGCGCGGGCGGCGGCCGACGGCGGGGGAGCGGCGAGCGCCGTGTGGGGGGCCGCGGCCGGGGGGGGGCGGCGCGTGCAGGGCGGGGGGGGGCGAGGCGAGCCGGGCGGAGGGCTTCACGTCGACGGGCGAGGCCGGGGTGGAGCGGCCTCCACGACGCCCGTCCGGAGCGACGCTCGCGGCTGCGGGAGAGAGGAGGGGGGTGTGTGGGGGGGGGGGGGGGACAATGAGAGGCGTGGAGACGAAGATACAAAGGCAACCGTGGTGTGGCCTGCACGGAGGCCGCCGGCACGGCGTACGGGGGGGGGGGGGGGTGGGGGCAGGGTGGTGGTGTGGCCGGGGTTGACGGCGCGTGCCCCGGGCACATTCGTCTCCGTGTGGCCGCTGTGGAAGAGTAGGCCAAACGCAGTCGGCAAAGCACCCTTAGGGGCCACCCATTGAGTAGGTATGCAAAGATCTGTCAAACCTTGACCCCTCCCTGTAGGTACGCGAACTTTTTACACCCCCCCCCCCCCCAACCATATAGAACGGCCGACATTTAATCCACGCTTGAAACGATCAAGGATTAATAATATTAACGCGTTTAAGCAAACAGACAGTCCACACCGCCGGGCCATCTAACTCATTTGAAGGCCAATGTAGACAAATTATTATCGAGGCTTCACCCCCCCCTCCCCCCCGTTTCCTATTCGTACATTGTCAGTAGACCCCCCCCCCCCCATACGCAACGCGTGCGCATTTGGGTTAACCCCCCCGTCCCCCCTCCATGCGTACGTACGAGATGGATGGGTCCTTAAGGGGGCTCTGTCTGCTCTGCCACGCTCGTGGCCAGAGTTTCTGGGTCGGGGTGCGAGCGGAGCGCCAACTTCACCCCACCCACCACACACTGCTGGGGGGGCGGCGGTGGCGGCGGGGGGCAACAGAGGTGAAGCGGCATTTGAGAAGCTTCTGTGAATGTCACGCAACATGGGAATGTCATGTAACATGTCATGTGTTACATCACATTGATCGCGGCAATATGGCCCAAAAGTGTGGGGGGGGGGGGGGCACCGGCTCTCCAGCCCCCCCCCCCCCCACCAAGTTGTGTCTCTGGGCCGCTCTCGGCGGCGTTGGCACTGCCACTCCTGCCGTGTCACCAAACACAACCCAGACAAAGATCCCCCGTGTAGCCTTAGCTGGCTGTTGGGGGCAAGTGCTGTTGCCAAAGTACCTATGAAGGCCAGGTGTCACACACAGTCACTCATTCATTCACTCACTCATTCACTCACCGACTCACTCACCCATTCACTCACCCACTTATTCACTCACAAATTCGTTGACTCAACACACCCAGCCACTCGCACAAGACGAAGATGCCCCCGTATCACATGTGAACAGACTGCTGGGGCAAGTGCTGTTAGCGAGTAGCAGCACCTATGAAGGCCGGCACCGTGGCACACGATGCGGTGGTGTAGTCAACACCACGCCCGCCGTGCCACCTTTGTCTCCCCAGTGGCCATGTTTATTTAAGGTTCAGCCAACCTAGGGGAGGGCCAGGACCGGTTCAGATGGCGGGAATCGAACTCGAGCCGCCGGGTTCGTAGCGCAGCGCTCTAACCACTACACCACCACTCCGCAAACGCACACATGTACACACGTACACACACACACACGTACAAACACAGGTACAAACAAAGACAAAGATCTCCCGTTTACCCTTAGACTGTCGGGACAAGTGCTGTTAGCGAGCAGCACCTATGAAGGCCGGCACGGCACCACGAGGGGGGTGGGTGGCCAGCACCACGCCCGGCCGCCTTTGTCTCACACATCGGAGCAGTCAGAACCGATTCAGGCAATCGTCCCCGGCGTCGGTGATCGTGAGCGGGAATCGAACTCGGCCCGCCGCGTTCGTGGCGCAGCGTAGCGCGAACCGTTTCTACCCCCCCCCCCCCCCCCCCCCCCCCCCCCCCCCCAGTATTGTGTGTATACACACACAGCTACACGCACACACGCACAGCTACACACACGCACGCACAGCTACACACACACAGCTACACACACACACAGGTACACACACACACGTACACACACGCACAGGTGCACACCACACGCACAGCTACACACACACACGCACAGGTGCACACACGCACAGGTGCACACACGCACAGGTCACAACGTGCACACACGCACAGGTGCACACACGCACAGGTGCACACCGCACAGGTGCACACACACACGCACAGCTACACACACGCACACACAGCTACACACACACGTACACACACGCACACACAGCTACACAACACGTACACACGCACAGGTGCACACACACACGCACAGCTACACACACACGCACAGCTACACACACACACACGCTACACCACACAGCTACACACACACACGCACAGGTACACACACACACACGTACACACACGCACAGGTGCACACACACACGCACAGCTACACACACGCACACACAGCTACACACCACGTACACACACGCACACACAGCTACACACACGTACACACACGCACAGGTGCACACACACACGCACAGCTACACACACACACGCACAGCTACACACACACACAGCTACACACACACAGCTACACACACACACGCCACAGGTACACACACACCACGTACACACACGCACAGGTGCACACACACACGCACAGCTACACACACGCACACACAGCTACACACACACGTACACACACGCACACACAGCTACACACACACGTACACACACGCACAGGTGCACACACACCACGCACAGCTACACACACACGCACAGCTACACACACACA